AATGTTTATAACTATTAATATTTGTATTTTAAATTATTTTATTTTATATTTAACAGAGCTTTGGGGAAAAATTTGGGCTTTATTCTGGAACCATCAAAGTGACCATATGTTAGCCACTCTCAAGTATGTTGAAAACCCTATCTGTTGGCTACTTGTTTCCTGCAGTATAACTCAGATGTAAAACAAATCTTATTTCAGTTAAAACATGCTTTGTGGGTTGAGCAGGGGATTGGCCTAGAAGACCATTAAGTTCCCTTCCAACTCTGTTATTCTATTACTTTATGTCCTCCATTTCTCTTCTTTTATCTATGGCTTTAAAAATATATTAAACTGAACTTGAATATGTTGTATTCACAGAACTGGTGGAAGTCCCCACTCTGGTCTGCAGTTCTGGCGGAAGTGCCGATCGCTCCCATTGGCTGATGCCATTTGACAGCTGGCTATAAAAGGAGCTGTCAAATGGCATCAGTTGTTGCTGCCAGCTGATCTGCCTGTTAGCACTGGCAGCCGCGGCAACCCTTTATTCCCAGAATAAAGCCTTTTGCTGTTAGCTTTGCTTCCTTCCACAACCACGCTGGCTGTCACTAGAGCCCTGACCAGAGTATTTGTCACCCATGGCCTCCCTGACACCCTTGTATCCGACAATGGCCCCCAGTTCACCTCTTGTGAATTTGAAGTTTTCGCAGCCAATCTGGGCATCAGGCACGTCCTCACAGCCCCTTTTCACCCTGCAAGCAACGGGATGGCTGAAAGGGCAGTTAGGTCAGTAAAGGAGGCCTTGGCAAGGTTTGGCCAAATTGATTGGCATTCCAAACTTCCCAGATACCTACTGACCCAGTATACAACCCCCTGTACTACTACCAATCTCCTGCAGAGTTACTAATGGGCAGGCGCCTTAGAACCACCCTGGATAGGTTGCACTCTCATTACGTCCCTGGCACCCCTTTGGGCTCTGACAGCCAGGCCAGGGAATTCACCCTGCATGACCTGGTCTATGCCAGGAATTATGCAGGGGACCCACTATGGGTGCTAGGACAAGTTGTATCAGTTACAGGGCCTAAGTCCTATAGGATCCTCCTGGACGACGGTCATATGTGGCGCCGACACGTAGACCAGCTGAGGAGGCATTGGAGAAGGACTACAGATGACCCCCGTTACCAGCCAAGCGAACCGGTCTACCCAGTGAACACCGAAGGTCCCCAGCCAAGCGAACTGGTCTACCCAGCGAACGCCGAGGGTTCCCAGCCAAACGACCCGGTCTACCCACCAAACCTAAAGATGTTCCCGAAGCAAGTCAAACGAAGGGACCTACCTGGACCGCCGCTGGACACTCGGACAAAGGCACCTGATTGTCGGACTCATGCTCCTGTGGCTTCCAGCGCGACCCAGGGGGCGAAGGACTTTGTCCCAGCAAGAGATCCTCCAGGACTATGACGATCCGGCCGCCTGCGCAGGCAGCTGGCCTATTTGCAGGTGGCTGGCCTATTTGCAGGACTACGCATGCTCCTGGCCAGGGGAAAGGAGTGTTGTATTCACAGAACTGGCGGAAGTCCCAACTCTGGTCCACAGTTCTGGCGGGAGCACCGATCGCTCCCATTGGCTGATGCTGTTTGACAGCCGGCTGTAAAAGGAGCTGTCAAACAGCATCAGCTGTTGCCACCAGCTGATCTGCCTGTTAGCCCCAGCAGCCACGGCAACCCTTTATTCTCAGAATAAAGCTTTTTGCTGTTAGCTCTGTGTCTGCCTCGTATCTTCCGCCGCTCTACAACAGAATATATATAGCAGTACCACAGTTATTTGCTGTTGCAGGTTATGCCTTTTTGTCCTAAATATTTTTTTTCCTTTGAGAAGCTACTTCTCAAATACTTATAATGTGTATTTCCATAAGAAAAAAAAAATCAAAGATGATTTACAAGAATATTTAAAGCATGCACACGAGCCAATTGTATCTCAAGCGCTGGCAGGAAAGATAGTTGAGCCTCTCTTATAGGTTTTAAGTTAGCGTCCATCACTGTCAACATATATGAGTGGAAACAGTATCCAGACATGGATACTAAAGCCTTCTGGAAGCAAGAGATTCTCTGGTGACACTGCTTTAGATTATTATTTTTGGCAATATCTAACCTCTTAAAGTCAATCATGAGTTGCTGCTCATGAATTTTTCAAAATCCTGCTTTTTTCCCCTAACCATTCTGATCCTTTCTTTGCCTTTGTTTCTATCATTATGCCATGTCTATAATCCCTCTGTGGCCCGTTTGAGTAGAATTAGAGCAGCACTTAATTACTGGAACTAGGAATGACAAATATCATCGTTTTTATCTGGTTGATCTTATATAAGTAACTCAGTGGATGAACCTGAATAATTTGAAACTGTGACTTAATGTCTTCCAAGGTATTGAAAAGCTGGATAAAATACAATGGTTGTATTTACTGTCTCTGTTGAGAAAATAGACTTTCTTGTACTCCATCCTACCATGTATGTTTATGTATCTACTATCAGAAAAAATAAAGCTTGCTCCTTGAGAAATCATTTCTTACTTTTTTTTTTTTGCCTTCATCCTCCGGTGCTTGATTTCAATATGGATATTGCCAATAAATACAATAAAATTAATATGAGATGCAAACTCATTTTTTTTAATGAAAGGGGGAAGGAGAGAACATGTTTGATCATTATTAAGAATTCAGACAAAAAGACTCCCAATTTCTTCTTTCCATTTAGATATCTGCAGGAAATCATGCCAAAGGTTCAGAGAACCTTTTATATTAGGAAAGGAGGAAGGGAAACTGGGCTAGAAACCTAGGACAAATCAAGGAATTTTCAGAATTGAAAATTTATCTCTTGCTTTACTAGCATATATATATGTGCACATGAGTCTGAAAGCACGAAAGCATATTTGTGCACATGCACATGTATGCATATAATTTAGTTTTATTACCAACTATTTTCATAATAATTGAAAATCTGGTGAGAAGCTTTATCAGAAAAAGTATCAAAATAAAAAAATGAATCAAATTTATATAATATATAAGTATAACATACAGAAAATTTTTCTTCTAGCTATTTTCTAAATTAAGAATGTTGTTGTTATTCATTCTGGCCTATGCATCTTTATCACCTATAAAATATATACGTTTATCTATCTCAAGTAAAGGAGCCAAATCATTAATTAATAAGAGAGAAAGTATTTTATAATGGCTGATTGCAGAGTGAGACAAAAGTTTAGACTAAATTTGGCATTTTAATCCATCCATTGAGTCCTTCCCAAGACAAGCAGATGTTGCTGGAGTTGTTAAAGGTATCATCACAGAATGTATCATCCTCTGAATGGACATATGCCTCAAGCCCGCTGACTCAAATCTAGGAATAGCTTTGTGGCAAGAACAAACATTCTTGAGAGTACACAAGAACAAAATTGAATTAAAAGATGGAGGAAGGAGAGTATCAAGCAGCGAATAACATTAAAGGAGGAAATGGCTGAAGGATCTGATCTGCCTTAAAGTACTTGGAGGGCCCTGAATAGATTAAAAGTTGGAGTGCCTAAATGTAAAACTAATGTTTCAAGTGAAGTCAATTAATGGATAGCAACACTCTATGTGAATGTGGAAAGCCACAAAGCCTGGCCTATCTCCTAGCATGTTATCTACTACAAGAAACATATACCAATAATGACTTATTTTTGATCAACAACAAAGCCAAGATTTTGGCTTTCATTGTGGAAGTTTAATGTTTGATCTAGTCATGGAAGAAGAAGAAGAAAGCAGGGTGTAAGCTGTTCCAACTAAAGCTGCCTTTTGCAACTGGTTGATAGTGACATTTTCAATGCTGATAGTGTTCAGATGATTCCCAAAGACACCTATTAGTTATTACCTTTGCTTTCTATCTTTTGCCAGAGTTCTATTTCTATTTGCAGATCTTTGTATTTGATGATTTTCTGGATTTCTTTCTCTTCTCTTCTATTGTCTCCAAATACTGCAACATCTGCTATCCAGACTTTTTTGTCTTTCTTACCAACCATTGTTACACTTGGGGCGTTGTGTAGCAGGTGCTTGTCTGCATGAATTCTAAAGTCCCTGCACACTTTAAATGTTTTATGTTCTATTACATTGTGTGTATTTTGTGATCCCATCAGTTCTTGCTTTTAGGCAAAAGGTATTTCTTGAAGATGTTTCCAATGCACAATTGTTGCTCCTCTGTCATGCCATTGCGTGTAGTCAGTGTGCTGTAGCTGACCAGGTGATCCACTGTTCTTTCAACTTCGCAGAAGTGATGTTGACTGACTTTTGCTGTCTTCTAAATTCTGGCTGTGTATGCATTTATTCTTAAAGTTTGATCTTGCACAGCCAGAATTAATCCCTCGGTCTCTTTCTTCAACTTTCCTGCTGTTCATCTTTGCCAGGTCTTATTATTATCTGCTTGGTTTGCTAGCTTTTTTAGAAATGTACTAGCCATGTAATACTGTGTCTTGCCATGTCTCTTTTATATTCTTCCTATGGTCTTCCTTATTTTTATCTGCTCAAATCAATTCACTGTAGCATGAGGACCTCTTCCTTGCTAGTCCAGTGCTGGTTGATATATAGGGGTTCAGGGGAGGTGTTTCTTAGGCTAGGCTGAAAGAAATGACTGGCCCAAATTCTCCAAGCTGATTTCTGTACCGAAGACAATTAGAATCAAGTTTTGTTTGGTCTTAGTCCAACATCATAATGTCATATTCTCTCTTTCTCCCCCCCTCTCTTTCCACATGTGTATGTGTGCATGTATGTGTGGGTGTGTGTGCATGTTTGTGTGTATAATCAATATAATTCTTTCATTTTTTTTCTGCTATCATTCATGAAATATACATAAAGCTACGATGAATTTTGATTTAAAAGTAAATAATAATTATTATAGGTTTTCTTTTACCTTTTTGAAATCAGAATCCACAGTTATGGTCATAGTGCTGAACAGGGACAAATGAGTGCATTTAGCTTTCAGTAATACAGAAAATGATAAATTGCCTAAGTGCTTTGTTGCCTCCTGGTTATTTTCAACCTGATAGCTAAAATCTCTGATGACAGTGACACTGTCCACATTCTGTCATGGTTAATAACAACATACACATCAATTTTGGTATTTCTTAATTTTTCTATTGTTGTTGTTACTAATCATTTCTCACATTTCTTTTCAAAATAGTGCACATAGGACTTCCTCCTCATTTATCCTCACAAAAGTAATACTTCTCTTGGAATTTAAACTACTGGTTTGGATCATGCCCTCTGAAATAATAGGAAACTGTAATTTTGTTGTTCTTTTTTTAATGATATAAACCTTTTGTTTCTTGTAATCAGGTTAGTATTATTAATGCAGGTTTTTTTCTTTTTTTATGTAAAAGGGAGAGGAGATGAATAGATTTTTGTAATTTCTGAAGAAGCAGATACATTTTTTAAACTCTTCATTTCTCTATTATGGTCAGTCAATGGAAACCCCAATTGTTGATGGGGTCACCTGCATATTCTCAGCATTTTATCACTAGTAGAATTGAAGAAGATCAGTGAGCAGAGTGAGATAATTTTGAAACTGATATTGAAGGATAAGAAATAGAATTGAAATTGTGAGGTGTCGGAATATCTTTGTGGCAGTTTTGCTGCCACTATGATAGAAATACAAGAGAGGAAACACTCGAATGCTGTACATGCTTTTTAAATATAAATACTATATTGAATAGTTGAAGAAGTATACCAAAGATATATACTCCTCACATCTCAAAGATAATGTCCACTTCCAGCTAGCCAAGCCAGGTCATCTGATTATTTTAAGTAGCATGGACTTTCCCTCAGATTTTCCCCCATTCTTTGACCAGAAGAATGGAGATAAAAACGGTGCAAAAATGTATTGCATATATTGTATGGCGGAGTGCTCAACAGTGTGGAGAAAAATAGCAGTGATGTCACCCATACTGATTCCAAAGTTGTACATTGGAAGGAAGTATTATTATTTTTTAACATTTTGCTTTGTTGTTATAGGCTTTAAATTTTTATTGCCTTGTATTGGGACCTATACAGTATTGGTTTTAGGGCTCCTAAAACCCTAGCCTATATATCCCAGGATGAAGGATAGGTTAAAAGTATTTAATGAAAAGAAAATAATGCATTTATTTGACATGTAAAGTTCAAACACTCTCCTATATGTGATTCATTTAAAAGCCTGTGCAAGAGAATCATTCTGGGTTGTTTCTTTGAGCAAACAAAGAACTACACAAAAAACTCAAGGCTCCCTTGGCAATATATTTGATACCCATGTGAATTCCCAAATGTGCTTAAAGATACAAACTTTGTATGGGGCTACTTCTGAAAAGCTTTCAGAAATTGTATAAAATGTAGTAATTGGGTTGTTAACGAGAGCAAGCCATGGGCTCATATGATGCTTCTAGCAATGTTGTGTGGGCAACATTTGAAGCATTGTATTAACCTTTAAAATCTTAGTGGTTTAGATCTGATTGTTTGCTAAAGCCTCTGCTTCTATGAATTTACCCCATAGAGGCATAGTGGTTCAGTGGCTTACTGACACTGTCTTTGCTGCAACAGTTTGAGTCCTAGCATTGTGTTGCAGGATAAGCTCCTGTCACTCACCTCAACTTCTGTCCACCTAACAGTTTGAAAGCATGTTCTATGCAAGTAGTTGGGTAGGTATCACTTTGGTGGGGAGATGAGTTGGTGCTCTCTGCAGGCAGTCAGATTTCTGAACTTTCCTTTTGCATATCCATTTGTAAGGCAGCTCCGGTAAGGAAGGAGCATTGGATGTTGCTGCAGGAAAAGCTGCTCATCTTTCTGGTGCAAAGCCAGCTTGTAGTCCTGTGGCACACCTTGGGATATGCGCAAGCATATCCTAGAAGAGGGCTGGTACCTTGACAAGCCAAACTACTACTCTGCAATTGCATTAGGGTCTCCTGGCTACTGTACCAATGCCACATGCTAATAATAATAATAAGCCTACCTGGGTCAGCAGGAGACGCATGTCCAAAGACATCCTTGCATCTAAAAATTTAACAACTGGATACTGAAACACCTTCTCTTATGTGGCTCCCAAGATGTGGAAGATTCTCACTAAGGAAACATATTTTGTTCCCCCTTTCCTCCTATTTTGGAAAGATATTAAAAATGCATCTTCTCGATTGAATGTGATTTTTTAAAAAAATATAATTACTGGTTTTAATCTAGATATTGATTTTGGCTGTGTTACTGGTATGTTTCTTCCTCTGTATTTGTTATTGTGCAAGCCACCTTGACTACTGGAATAAAGGGAGACTATACATTTAAAAATGTAAACAAAATGCACTAATGATTTCTTTACAAAGTCAGTGAGCATATGGTCAATGGAAGGCATGCTATCTTGCAGGCCATTGCATTAGGATGGAGTTAATCATCCCCTTCCATGTGTTTTCTGGTATCAGAGGGATTGTACAAAAGCTCTGGCTGCAATACTATCCATGATGTTTTTTTTTCCCCTTCATTATCGGAACAATTTCTGAGATAATCATCTAATAATAAATAATTTAAAAAGAGACTGTAAAAGCAATGCAATAGTGGACACTCTTTGTTCTAAAAACCCCCATAAACATTTTGCTTTATCAATTACAAAGTAAATTTATATAATAGATGAAGTTTTTGCAAAGTGACAGTAGCCACAGTAATTGCTGTTTGTTTATCCTAAGTGTCCTTTGCTTTCAAAATCAATCAAAGCTGCAGTTCTATCATCAATGCCCGAAATGGTAATCTGTTTGGATCAGAGTTGGATTACATTTACCTTTTTTTTTGTTCCTGGAGGCAGATCTTCCCGTCTTTTGATTCTTAAGTCTACTTCTCTCAGGAAATAGTTGGTGACGGCCGCATTACAGCCTTTGCTAATGATGAAAACTGGTGAAATTCTGCAGAAGGCTAGTGAGGGCTGTTGCAAAGCAATCCAAAGTGTGGTGGTTGAATTTCACAGAGTTCAGGGAAGACATTTGCATTTGCAGGAGATCCATCTCCTCCCGTGCCCTGCCAGAACACTGTTTTGGTTGTTAAGATAACTGTTTCCAGAGCCAATTTGTGAATCGAGGCAATTCACAATGCGGCAGAGCTTCCTACCATAAAAATAGATGCCAAAGATAATTGGGCAAGGTGGTGTCATGTCACTTGTGTGCAGTTCATTAATTAACTGCTTGAAACTGCTATAAAATAATAGCCATGTCATCAAGAAGAAAGTAGAGAAGTATAAAACTGCTGTAAGGAAGGAAACAGAAGCAGCTGTTATTAAAATACCCTCAAGTTACCATTCATTTTTAATGGCTACCCTCTGGCTTTCCCCCTGCCAAATCTTAACCTAGACATAGACCCAGCAGGCCTTTTGCTTCTAGTATTTCTGGCAAGATTCAACTCTTCAGTATGGCAATCAATTTAGCTTCTTCCCGTTTAATGCTTACTGGACTACATCTTCATCCAGGCCAAATATACCTCCAGATGAATACAGTGACAACGGAAGACGAGCACTTCAGCATTTGTTAATAAACAAGTTGCTGGATGTCACCGAAGTCTTAGTTTTAACCTATATTTCCCATTGCTTTGACCTTACCTTTTTGTTTTTGTTTTTTGCTTTACTAAACAGTGGACCTTATTTTCCAGTTTTTTTTAAAAAAAAAAACAATTAAGTTGTAGTTATCAATTAATCAGCTTCCCTAGGAAATCATTGTTTATTTTAAATTTCGATTTAGTGGGTTTACTTAGTATCCTGGGGAAGATGGGTGACACTCTTATTCTGTGAAGGTAATTTGTAAAAAAGATGTTGATGAGTCTCAGATCCAGTTTATAAAAGTAAAAGGCACTGAGTATTTATTTCTACTTGTATATAATATTTAGTGGCTACCCATCTCCCTCCTAGAGTGTCTCTCTCTCTGTATAGGATATTTTGTTCTTTGGATCAAGTTCACAAGCAAGTGGACAAAATGTTTATCAGCTAGTAAGGATGTAGCTATCATTAGATAGCCCCTTGAAAATCATTCTGAGGCACTGCTAGGTTTTTTGCAGGGAGGAAACCTGAGAACTATCTTTCCTTTTATATAAATACATTATACATCCTTCAGGAAAAGGTTAATTCCTGGTGATTTCATGGATTCATCCATGTAATTTTCTTAGCAACCATACACAAGTGATTTGCTATTTTTTTCAGAATGAATGTGCATATATGTATTTATGTAGACACACAAATAAGGATAGATAGATAGATAGATAGATAGATAGATAGATAGATAGATAGAT